GAACCTGTGTCTATAGGACACCTTATCTACCTCGCGCAAGGAACTGCAAGTGTGCCCACCCAGCAACCTAGTTGTCGACCCTCTCATCTCACTAATCCGTCACAAGCGTGGTCACTTGAAGTGAAGAAGATGGCATCACCGGCGGTGAACAAGCACGGAGCGACATCAGCAATCGATGAAGGGCCGCTAGAAAGAGAGACGATTTCCCAGGATACACCCCGCGCGCCTCGGTAAGTTGTAGTCCGCAGCCACTTTCATAGATCAGATGATGAACGCTCCTAATGTAACAGAAGTCGCAAAAAGAGACGCAAGCCCGCCACCAACCACGATCCGCAGAGGTATAATCAAAGCATGGGCAATACGCCATGTGCGCAGTTTGGTTGGGCGGTTGACGGGAAGCTAGTCGCCCAGTTCGTGAATGGCGGCGTGGCCTATTACTTTGTCGCGGGAGATGGATCTGTCACTGGCGTTTGCCCGGGGGCTTGGGGCCTCACCCGTCTGTTCCAGCCTTGGATCATATAGAGTTTAGTTCGATCCGTAGCCGGTTGACACATGGGTCTTTACGCAGTTTGGGCAGGAACGTGTAGGCGCCGACACGTAGATAAATCAGCCTCTGCGCCATACTCCCAAAGGCCTATAAATTGTCGTCGGCCTCCATAGATTTGCAAACGCAGGTTTATCTGCAACTGAAACTTCTCTATCGGTGAAATGGATAAGGTCCTCAACCAGCGGATCGCGCATTCAAACCTGATCAGGCCCACGGGCGTCACCATGGACACAACCGCAAGTCGAAGCCTATCGCCACGACGGAACATGTCTTGTGGGTCGTTCCTATTGCCAGACTCGGACGATGACTTGGCGCAAAGCTTGGTGTCCCTCGAACCGACTATTACAAATCAGACTACGCCCGTAAACCCCAAGGCCAACCAGGTCTCACGGAACGATGTCGTGTCCGACGAAGCGGCCATCGACCGCCAGGATCGTTCAAGGCACGCATATCGTTACCCACGCGTGGTGCATGCGTACGGTGGGGGAGGCTTGCAAGATGGGATGCATTTCGCAACGGTGACGGACGCGAGACGTATCCTCTCTTTTGATGGATCTTGGGAGTCGTCTACGACGTCAAAGAAGTTCGGGTTCTGGGACATCCGATCTGGTACAGGATGCCCGGTGCGTGAGCCTCTATTGGGGAATGCTTCCACGGGACACCTTGAATCGGAAACACCCAGGCCAGACTCACCCACACTAGGGTACGGAGATGCCAGAAGCTGTCAGTGAGATGGATTGGCCCTAGTTCCCTGTTGAGTAGTGGACGCCGAGCTTCATCTTGTTACTACTGTAAACGGTGCGGCTTTTCGGTCGCTTTCTCAAGAACAAAGATGTAGATACCACTACCATTGAATGACTAGACGCTTAGTTCTATCTATTGAGAATGGAGATATAATTACAACATGCGTCGCCCAGCCAGAAGTAGCACACTTTGGGCAGCAGCGTCAGGTTGTGTGGGCGATGTCTCCAGACCTATCTCCGCTGGACTGCAGCCTCTGCTCTGTCACAAGAGCTCGATCCATGTTGAACTTCCTGATTGGAAGGCTCATCAACAAGGCGGCGCCTGAAAGTCCGACGTAAAGACCATACACCCCATGGAGGCCGCGGACGCATGCATGCAAGATCCGGACCCGGGTTTCATCGTCAGTAACGGCTCCCAGAATTTCCGCCGTGTTGGACTGGCCTCGGGCAGTACCATCCGCCGGAAGGCCGTAGGAATCCAGTTGAAGCCCAAATATGTTCTGAAATACCGAGCCACCAACCCCGACGCCCACTGCCATGCCGAACTGTCTGGCAAAGGCGTACATTGCGGCGGCTGCGCTCTCTGCTCCCGGCTTACACGCAGCTTGAGAGGCAAAGTTCTGTGCATTCAGAACGGCGCCGTGGCCCAGGCCCAGCAGGACGAGGGTTACTGCCCAGACACCGATTGGCGTGTTGATGTCCCAGAGAAGTGTCAGGCCTGAGGCGATCACGGTCAACGACCAGCCAGCCCAGATCGGGTACTGGTAGTTCTTTGTTCGTGTGACCAAAGCACCGGTCACGATCGAACCCGGCACGAGGGTGAACATGACGGGGAAAAGGGCGAGGCCTGTGTCGACGGGCGAGAAGCCTTTGACGACGATGAAGAACTGCGGGATATAGTATAGCTGGCCATAGATCTTTATCGATTAGCAGAAGTGGAATCGCATCGAGGTCTTCGACTTACCACAAGACCTTGAACAGCACCACAAACGTAGATAGCAATGGGTGAAAACCCCCAGAAGAGGCCAAGGTCAAGAAAAGGTCGCCTTGACAGTCGTGCCTCGTATACAAAAGTCCAGAGCAAGCCAGCTGTACCGACACATAAGGGGACCAGCGTGTCAGCACTATCCCAGGCAGACTGTAGGCCGCCGCCGGAGACGGCAACGAGGAACAAGGTCGAAGAACTTATGAAGAAGATGCCGCCAGCCCAGTCGATCGAGGCAAGATTGTCGCGTGCGGCAGCAATTCGAGGCTTCAGCTTCACCTTCCATTGAACAAGAACAATGCCGGCAGCGCAAAAAGGGAACATGATGTAGAAGATCCAACGCCACGTGGTATACTGAGCTATGGCTCCTCCAACGATGGGTCCCGCGCAGTTCCCCAGAGCCCATGCTCCGAGCCTAGGTCGTCCGAACCAGGTCAGTACCACATACGAGTATCTCCGTGCAGGGCTCTCACACTATGCCGTACCACTTCGGTCGGTAGAGAAGGGGTACGAGGTCGGTGTAGATGACGAGGCACAGCATGATGATGCCGGCGCCGCCGATACCTTGGAGGGCCCGACCAACAAGCATCTGTGTAATGGCGTGAGATAGGCAGCAGAGGATGGTGCCGACCGTGAAAAAGAGCAAAGATGCCATCAAGCATGATTGGCGGCCAAAAACCTTGCTCAGATCGGCTATGAAAGGCATGGCGACCGCGTTGGCCAGCAAGTAGGCAGTGCCAATCCAGAAGCCTCCGTTCGCCGTAGTCTGTAAATCTTCCACGATAGCCTACGACGAGTCGTCAGTTGCGTCAGCAAGACGAGGGAAGAATCAACCAACGTCTAATGATGTGACGATTACGCATGCATCAAGAGCTACCATGAAGGACAGAATGGCAAGAGATCCCATCACGACAAGCTTGTCTGACTCTGGTCGCCATTCGCCAACTTGTTCATGAGCAGCATTCCTTCCAGCACCAATGCATGATTCTGTGGCGTCATGTAGCTCCATTGCGATGGTTGTTGAAGGGGAGTGAACGATCCGATAGATGTGTGGATGATGTTGCGTACAAAAGACACGAAGTGGCAGAGGCAGGCTAGTCGAGGTTGAAACTAGGATGTGAACGCACGGTTTTGTATGAGTTGAAAGCTCGGAAAAGTCAGCAATGGTGCTCTTATTTGTACCGCCGGAAGAAACAGTCAAGAATCTCCGCCATACCGACACCACAACCGGCTGCCTACGACAAAAGCCGGTTTAGGCGTCACAATGTCGCGTACAAAGACCCATCGCCGCCGTACAGGTTTTATTGATGCTGCTCACATTATCACTTGCGACGAGCTGATTTGCGACAGGCAGATCCGACACAGACCTTGACTTACTGTCCACGATGCGCCATCTCTACCTGATTCCCCTCGTGTGGCTGACGTGGACGGAGCAAGCCCAAGCAGCTTCGGCAATCGAGATCATCTCTCAAACACCGGCTTGTGCTGTGAGAATCTCCACCTTGTTACCAGGTCCAGGAGCTGATACGCATCGTCAAGCATCACTGCCTCGCGGAATCCTTCTTGTCGGCTGCCTGTGGCCTGAGCGACGTCACCTCTTGCCTATGTGCCAACACTACCCTGCAAGCCGAGCTATCGATATGTGCGCAGACGTACTGCTCGTTCGGAGATCAACTTAGTGTGGCAACACCCACTGCTCGCGGAAACAAATGTCGCTGACCAGGAAAAGCCGCGGCCGTGGTCGAAAGTGATTTGTGCGCTGCATATCCGAAAGCTTCGCGTAGCTTGACTGTCGAGCGCACGGTGATCGCTGGCTCTGCCGTAGTGTTTCCCGTCATCGCCCTCAGATTGATTGGCAGACTGAAATATGCCAAAGGCCTCTGGGCAGACGATTATACGACCATCGTCGGAGCGGTACGGGAGCGTGACTCCCATGTCCTTGGTAGTTGCTAAGGCCTCCGAGCAGGTCTTACTGGCGGCGCTCTCCACCATGTATCTATATACGGCTTACATCGGCTTCGGAATGCATTATTGGACGATTCCCGTCGGGAACGGCACCGTTATTCTCAAGGTTCCGTTTCTATTTTGTGGGACAGCCAGCGGTACTAACAGATGGCAGCTCCTCTACGTCGGTTCGCTATTGTACACATTGCTACAGGCAGTCGTGAAGCTGTCGATCGTCTTGTTCCTGATGCGAATCTTCCCTTCAACGTCTTTTCAGCGACTCTCTCGGGTTCTCGGCACATTCATCATTCTCCACGGAGTATTGTTTCTAATACCGTACGCCGTTCAGTGTATCCCCGTGGACTCGATATGGGACCGGAACATCACGGATCGCAAGTGTGTCAACCTACCCGCGGTCGGCTACAGTAGTAGTGCGTTGGCGATAGCCGAAGACATCGCCATCCTTCTCCTGCCTATTCCGCAAGTGTGGCGGCTGCAGATTTCGCTTCAACGACGTCTCGCGCTGCTAGCACTGTTCAGCATCGGCTTTTTGTGAGTCTTTCGCGGGTCCATCTGCGGATCAAAGTGGTCGATGACTGACGGAGGCTCGTGCTTTTTGGCAGTGCTTGCCTGACTTCGATGATTCGCATGAAGTTCCTGGTTCAGTACACCAACACGTTCGATGCGACGTGGGACCATGTCGATGTTGTGATGTGGTCCTTCA